TCCAGGACCTGATGGATTCACTACTGAGTTCTCTCGGACATTTAAAGAAGAACCGATACCAACTCTCCTTAAACTGTTCCACAAAATAGAAAGGGAAGGAACACTGCCTAACTCATTCTATGAAGCCAGTATTACTCTCATCCCCAAACCAGTCAAAGACACCTCCAAAAAGGAGAATTACAGGCCAATTTCCTTAATGAATATTGATGCAAAAATCCTTAATAAAATAACAGCAAACCAAATCCAACAACACATCAGAAAGATCGTACACCATGACCAAGTCGGCTTCATCCCAGTGATGCAGGGATGGTTCAACATACGCAAATTGATAAATGTAATACAGCACATTAATAAAAGCAAACACAAAAACCACTTGATCATCTCAATAGATGCAGAAAAAGCCTTCAACAAGATCCAACACAACTTCATGATAAAAGCTCTAAGAAAACTAGGAATAGAAGAAATGTACCTCAACATTGTAAAGGCTATTTATGACAAACTTACAGCCAACATTATACTTAATGGTTAAAAACTGAAACCATTTCCCCTAAAATCAGGGATGAGACAGGGTGCCCACTATCCCCACTCTTAGTCAACATAGTACTGGAATTTCTAGCCACAGCAATTAGGCAAGAAGAAGAAATAAAAGGAATACAAATAGGTAAAGAAACTGTCAAAATACCCTTATTTGCAGATGATATGATCCTATACCCTAAAGACCCAAAAAACTCTACACAAAAATTCTTAGACACCATAAACAGCTACAGTAAGGTGGCAGGATACAAAATCAACCTACAAAAATCATTAGCTTTTCTATACACCATCAACGAACAAACTGAGAAATGGCTATATTACCGAAAGCAATCTACATATTTAATGCAATTACCGTCAAAATCCCAATGACTTTCATCACAGAGATTGAAAAATCTACTCTAAAGTTCATTTGGAACACAAGAGACTGCAAATAGCCAAGGCAATACTCAGCAAAAAAAGGAATGCTGGAGGTATCACAATACCCGACTTCAAACTATATTACAAAACAGTAGCAATAAAAACAGCATGGTACTGGCACAAAAACACACATGAAGACCAGTGGAACAGAATAGAACATCCAGTTATGAATCCACACAACTATACCCACCTCATTTTTGACAAAGGTGCCAAAAATATATGATGGAGAAAAGACAGCCTTTTCAACGAATGTTGCTGGGGAAAGTGGTTACCCATCTGCAAGAAACTGAAACTAGATCCATGTCTATCACCCTGTACTAGTATCAACTCAAAATGGATCAAGGACCTAAATATCAGACCTGAAACTCTGAAGTTACCACACGAAGGTGCAGGAAACACTCTGGAACTAATAAGTATAGGCAAAGACTTCCTCAATAGAACCCCAGCAGCCCAGCAACTAAGAGAAAGTATGGACAAATGGGACTTCATAAAATTAAAAAAGTTCTGCACAACAAAAGAAATGGCCTTTAAACTGAAGAGACCACCCACAGAATGGGAGAAAATATTTGCCAGCTATACATCAGACAAGAGACTGGTAACCAGAATATACAGGGAACTTAAGAAACTAAACTCTCCTAAAATCAATGAACCAATTAAAAAATGGGCAACTGAACTTAATAGAACTTTTTCAAAAGAAGAAAGTCAAATGGCCAAAAAAGCACACGAAAAAATGTTCACCATCTCTAGCCATAAAGGAAATGCAAATTAAAACCACACTAAGATTCCACCTCACCCCTGTTGGAATAGCCATCATCAGCAACACCAGCAACAACATGTGTTGGTGAGGATGTGGGGAAAAAGGAACCCTAATCCACTGCTGGTGGGAATGCAAGCTGGTGCAAACACTCTGAAAAAAAATTTGGAGACTTCTTAAAAACCTAAACATAGACTTGCCATATGATCCAGCAATCCCACTCCTGGGGATATACCCAGAGGAATGCAACACAGGTTACTCCAGAGGCACCTGCACACCCATGTTTATTGCAGCGCTATTCACAGTAGCCAAGTTATGGAAACAACCAAGATGCCCCACTATTGATGAATGGATCAAGAAAATGTGGTACTTGTACACAGTGGAATTTTACTCAGCCATAAAGAAGAATGAAATCTTATCATTTTCAGGTAAATGGATGATACTAGAGAACATCATTCTGAGCGGGGTCAACCGAGCTCAGAAGACAAAAAATCTTATGTTCTCCCTCATAAGCAGACTTTAGATCTAGGGCAAATGCTGCAATGTGGTTGGACTGGGACCACATGACAAGGGGAGAGCACATATGGGTGACATAGAAATAGGTAGAAAATCCAAAACATGAAAGTGTTTGAAGTCCCCACTCCAGAGGAGCTAATACAGAAACCTTAAAGCAACACAGGTTATCATGAGAAGGGGATCAGTAACCAGGTTAAAGATCAGCTAGAGATGAATCAACATGGGTCATAACACATGTACATGAAAGCAATGCTAGGAATCTCTCTGTATAGCCATCCTTAACTCAACTAGCAAAAACACTTTGTCTTCCTTATTATGGTTGTCTCTTTTCTTTAACAAAACTGGTGATAAAGACAGAACAGGACCTGCCTAGAAGTGAGGGGGGAAGGGGGGAGAGGGTGGGGGAGGGGGGAAGGGGGGAGAGGATGGGGGAGGAGGGAAGGGGAGGGAAATGACCCAAACAATATATGCACATGTGAATAAATGAATAATAATAAAAAAGGAAAATATTAAATTGATAGCAAGAAAAAAATGTCAAGAAAAAAGGGAGAGATGGCATAAAATTACATTAGTGATTGTATCACTAATGATTCTCATATGTTAAAAAAAATCAGACAGGTAGGTAAAACAGGTCTTGTCTGGGGATAGCCACCAGTGGGAGGGGATTGGCATAAGGAAAGAGTGAAGGAGGACAAATATGGTGGAGGTATTATGTATTCATGTATGAAACCTGTTGAAATTATTCTAAGGGAAAGCATGAGGGAGAACCATGGAGGGGGTGAATCTAAGTAAGATATATTGCAAGTACATATGTAAATGTCACAATGTATCCCCCAGTCCAACTATTATATGCTAATAAAAAAGAATCAGAATGCTATGAATAATATGATTCAATAATAGAGATTATCAGAAAAGCTCCTTGAAAAAATATGACTCATCACCAAAGAATAAATAAAAAATTTGGAAATAATTTATATCTATTATAAAAAATTAAATCTATTATTAAAGCCTTCCCACAAAGAGAGTTCTGTGTCCTGATGACTTTACTTTTAATCCTTTCAAATATTTAAGAAACAAAATAGCATCAATCATATCAATATAAAAAATTCTTCAAGATAATAGTTATTTTGTAAGGCTTACTATAACCTTGATACAATATCTGATAAAGCTATTATCAGAAAAGGTAAATTACAGATTAACCTTACTTTTAAACATAGCCAATAAAGTACTACACAAGATAGTAACAAAACATATCAGTAATAAATGAAATGGATTATACATTATGCCAAAAAATTTATTTCAGAAACCCAAGTTTGATCTATTATATGGAAGTTAATCGATGTCTCAAATGATGCAAAGGACACAACCATATAATGTTCTCGATAGATGGAAAGGGGTTGAATGGCAGAGCACTTTTTATTGTTTTGTTTTCTGAGACAGGGTCCTTTTGTGTAGTCCTTTTGGCCTTGAAATATTGATTCTTCTGCCTAGCCTCCTGAGTACTGGGATTACAGGGATGCTCCACTGTGCTTGGCTCATAGTCAGTGTTTTTATTTCCAGTCATTAGTCTAGTTGTAATGAAACTTTTTTCTACAGTTATATCATTATGTTAATATCATATTAATGTATTATAACAATTATATATGGATGTATTAATACATAAACTGCATATTGCTGTTACATATTAATGTGGTGTCAATGTATTATAATAATGTAATTCTATTACATTCTATATTCTACCACTTGTTCTTTGTTTTCATTTAATATTCTATGAACTTCTTCCCATGCCAGCACGTACCCAAAAAACAGAACTGGAGAAAAGCCTTAGGCATGTTTTTCCGCACATCAGGGAGGCCATCAGGTGGCTGTGGGCAACCATGAAGTTGCCCCAAGAAAAACAAATTATATGATAATATGATATTATAATGATATGGTATAATACACTGTTTCCCTATCAAACGCTTTACCTCCCCTTTCCTAAACCCTTCCCTTCGCCCCTACCTTCCCCTTCATGTTCTCTTAGGCTCTGACTCCTTGGGTGTATTTTGGAAAACATCTGGACCATGAACTCTGGTATCTCAATCGGTCAGCTGACACAACTGACAGGTGGTTCTCTCAAGGCTGTGTCCCTTTAGGTCAAAGTCACCTGCTGAGTTCACCTGCTGTGGAAGCGAGGGTGAACTCGGCAGCCAGTCCCACAGGGCACAGCATCGCTGTGGTTGCACAAGGAAGAGAGATGTCAGCTCCAAGGCTGGCTTTCCATCCAGTGCCACCTTATTTCAGTTTTAAGGCAGACTGCTCAAAATCTCCGAAATCCTGCCCACCCAGCAGCCAGGTCCCACAATCTCAAACCCAGTCCATCCTGGAGGGTCTTAGGGCGCCCAGGATAGGCGACCTGAGTTCCAATGTCCTGTCCACCAGAAGTGGCTCCCAATGTGACTTGTCTTTGTCCTCATTCCACCCTAAGGGCTTTCACGAAAATGCAAAACACCCCACGCAGCTCGGAAGCTATTCTTTTCTTTCACTTTCATCAAGCACCAAGGAGGCTGGGCTGCAGTGTGTAGGCTCTGGCACCTCGCAACTCCCAGGGACAACAAACCTTGTCCCGAGGGCTTATGCGACCTGTGCCTTTCCGGCTCGAGGAGGAAGCAGGGCGCGGACCTGACGCCTCGGGAGTCCCAAAACCCCGCCCCGGCCCGCGCACTTGAACTTGGTGCCGAACCTGTCTGGGTCCCCTCTCCACGCCAGTCGGCGCCGAGTGACCAGGGCCACCGGAGACATGCTCCGGCTCTGGCTGGGGCTCCTCGGGTCGAAGCTGCTGCTCTGGGGCGCAGCGAGCGCGGTGTCCCTGGCCGGCGCCACCCTCTTCCTCAGCCTCTTGCAGATGGTGGCGAGCTATGCGCGGAAATGGCAGCAGATGAGACCTATTCCCACGGTCGCCCGCGCCTACCCCTTGGTGGGACACGCGCTGGTGATGAAGCCAAATGGGAGCGGTAAGGGATCCTAAGCGCACCCTCGGTGACCGCTGCTGGGCACTCTGCCCAAAAACCCCAGCAGGACTCTCCTTCACCCCATAGCCACACCCACGGCCCGCACTTCTCACTGACCTGGGACCCTGCTACTCCAGGAAAGGGCTTCTAGGAGAAAGAAGAATCTGTCACCCGCTACAGACTGGGTCTCTAATTCATAGATCCAGATTTCCCCTTTGCATCTGCCGAACTTGCTCCTGCCCCTCCATTCGATAACGAACGGTTTTTTACACATAACGCAGAATGCAGTGTTTTCAGATTTCTGGCCTGCTTTTTCTCTTCTCTCTTTTCCACCTGTAGCTGCTCATATCTCAACAGCCTGTCCTTTTTTTTTTGTATTGGCTTGCAAATCCTTAAGGATGAAAACTCCCCTGGAGCCTTCAAATTTAGTGCCATTTTCCTCTGCCTCCCACTATGGAAAACAAGAGGCCTGAGATTCATTTGAGGCTTCCCCCACAACATCCATCTGAACATCATATGACTTCACCACTACTTCCTTTCATTCCTTCTTGACTTTCATAGTTTAGCTTTCCTAAGGAGGTTTCATAATAACAGTTAATGAACTGTTGACAGGGCCATCAGACACATTTATATGCCAAAATCTTTAGTTATTAAAAAAGACTTCTTTTGTTGAAAGCATATTTTAAAAAGAGATAGACTTACATTTTGTCGATGGGGAAAAAAATCACTTTAAGCTTTCCCATTAGGAAAGATCTTAGTAGTTCATTTCCATAAGTGTGTAAGTTGGGATACCCAGATCTAAAAAGATTTGTCCAAAATGGTGTATTTTTAAATTAACCTGGGCCAGACCTAGTTACTCTTCAGATTATTAGCAATTGTTTTATAGAGCTTGAAATACCATTTCATTGTCTCTTCTGTTTCCCCAACAAAATAACACTATAATTTCAACTTCATAAGAGTAAAATGAGGCCTCAGGGGAGAGTGGTTACCAAAATATTTTCTGGCAGAAGACATCTAAGTAAACTTTTTCTCAAACAAATATCAACATGATTAATATCATAAGTAATCCAACCATGCTTTTAGGTATATGAAAATCACATGGGCAAAAGTCATCTTGGGTAATACTAAAAGCAGAACTAACCTCCCCTTCTGCGCTGAGGCTTTATGTATTAAAAATAACTATGTCTAGCCACATGACGGTGGCTCACACCTGTAATCCTAGCTACTCAGGAGGCAGAGATCAGGAGGATCTCCGATCTAAGTCAACCTAGGCAAATAATTAGAGAGACCTTATCTAGAAAAGACTTTCGCAAAAATAGAGCTGGTGGAATGGCTCAAGGAGAAGGCCCTAAATTCAAGACCCAATACTGCAAACAAAAATATGTACAAATATAGATTCCCCTGGTGCCGATCGTAATCTTGAAGGGTAATCACCAGCACCAGAATCCCAAATGTTGAAGTTCCAAAAGATCAAATTCTCTAAAGTGTAAATTCCCCAAATAAGTTGCGAAAGATTAAACGTCAATGCTGAAATCCTGAAAGCCAAAATCTGAAAACTAAAACTCCAGTTGCAGAAAGACCTTGTCAGATAGGAGAAACCAAAATTTAGTGAAGAGGTTTGTGTATTTCTGGTTGTACACAGGATAGTCACATCATGTTAGGTAAAATGAACAGAAGAAAGCTGGCAAAGTGTTATTTTGGGTATATTTGTGAATGTCTGTGAGTCTGAGTACACTAAGGGAGGAAGATCTAACCTAAACCTGATCATTCACAGTCCAGTTTATAGAGGGCTCAGAGGGAACAAATATAAAAGAAAAATGGTCAGTTCCAGAGAGCTGAGACAGAGTTTTCTGCAGTTGCCTTGGACATCAGAACCTGAGGCTCACCAGTCTTTGGCCTCCAGGACTTAGGCCAACCCTTCCCCATCCTCTAACTTGCTATTCTAGGTATTTCATCTTTGCATTATTTCCAATTCTGGAAGCATAAATTGTGTAAAGACCCTTAGAGACAGCTAATTCAATTTATGCATTTTTTGCATGTGGTTCAACAAAAGTGCATTATCACAATGTTGATTTTTTTTGTGTGTGTAAGCATTGATATGTGTAAAAACACCAAAACATCCTCAGTAAGTGAAGAGATGACTTTTTATACAGATGCATCTGTGAGAGAAAAAATGTCCTGAGATCTTAGCTTTTTCAGTGACTGTATATATAGTGTTGAATCATCACCATTGTGGTTTTTGGTGTATTGAGTCACAAAGCTTAGATTATCTGACATGGTATTTCAGATGCCCCCCCCCCTTTCCGGACAGAACCTGTTCTGCGCTCTTGTTCTCTGATTTTGTTGAAGAGAAAATATAAGAGATAATAAGAAAGACATAGTGTTTTGCTAGTTTGAGATAAAGATAGCTATATAAGGAGATTTTTAGCCTTGCTTCCATGCACGTGTGTATTGCAACTCACATTGGTTCATCTCTGCCAGACCTCTTCACTGCTGCCTGGTCCCTTTCCCATAGTGGCCTCTGCCATTTTAAGATTACTATATTTGCTCCTCTATAGGGAGCACATTAACCACATTCAAGTTTTAGGTTTCCTTTCCTTGCCCTAATTCTCTCGAGCGTGTTCTCCCCTTAGTGTGTGACCCATGTCCAATAATATTACTGCATTTGTTTTAGGTCTATAATCTGCATATGAGAACATGTGACTTTTCTGTCTTCTTTGTGGCTGAGTAAAATTCCATTGTGTATAAATACCATTAATCCTTTCGTCAGTAGTGGGGCATCTTGGCTTTTTCCATAGCTTGGCTAAACATAACCTGAATGTTTCTGACTGTAAAAATATCTATGTCATTACTCCTTATTTTATCATGCAAAGTGGTCTATGAAGTGTTTGCTTGTGCTTTTATGTTTTTTTTTCAAGTAAATCCCTTTTAAAGAAAATATAAATGCCCTTAAGCAAATTTTTAAATTACTTTTTTCTAGAATTGTATTTTTTAGGATTTTAATCTTAGATTATAATTTTAGATTTTAGGTGTTTTGATCTTTTAGAATTTCAATATTCAGAATGATAGAGTTTGCGGTTGTGCCTTTGGGGGGTTTTGTCTCAAACGTAGAAGCCTTCCAATTTTACCCTTGGAAAGTCTCATCATATTCTTTTGGGGATTCCAATTATTATTTATTTATTTATTTTTTGCATTGCTAGGGTTTGAATTCAGAACCTTCACCTTGAGCCACTCCACCAGCCCCTTTTTTTGTGATAGGTGTTTTTAAGATAGGGTCTTACAAAATATATGCCCAGGGTTGGCTTCGAACCACCATCCTCCTGATCTCTGCCTCCTGAATAGTTAAGATAACAGGCGTGAGCCACCAGCGCTTGGCCAAGAATTAAAATTTTTAGTACGTAAGAAAGACCAGTTTTAAAAAAACTCTGACCTTACTGGACTATTTAAATTTTCCTTGGAACTACTTCCTGAGTAATGAGAATGACAAAAAAACTGCCATTTACAAAAGGACATTTTATTCCATTGAGAAAAGTGTTTCTGGGCATTTCTAGCTTTGTGGCTGTTTTTTTTTTTTTTTTTACTTTGCTAGCAAAAGTAACTGTATTCCAGAGTTACGTCCAAAGATTAATTTTAAGTTTAATGCAGGCAAAGTTTCTAGGTCACTGTCTAGAACTTGATTAGAATAAGCTCTTTAATTGCCAATCAGACATTCACCGAGGACCTGTTTTGTGCCCAGTGTTGAGCTCTGCAAAGTTGGGGATATCAGAATATTCTAAGATATAGTCCCTGTGCCAAGTAACTCGTCTCTTATACAAAGAGGCTGTGCCTTCCGTTCTGTGGCTGATGCCTGAACTCTGGCCTTGGGAATCTCACCTGGAGCACTGCGCGTGGCTTCCAGTTAGCCTTTGGGCTCTCCAGTCATGTGTCACTGTCCGCCTGTGCCACCTGTGCCCAGCTTCGGGATCTGATAGCCTCAGACTACCTGGGGCAGGCAGGCAGACTATCAGCATAAACAGGATGTTTTGGCAGCAGGGATTCGATCCAGGCCTTTCGCTGCAATTTTGACAAACTTTTTATCCAAGAGACATTTTGTAGCAGTGTGGCCTAATGATTAATATGCTTGGGAGTCACGGTACAAAACCAAGCTTTACAATTTACTAACTCTGTGTCATTGGACAAGATTTATTCCAGTTACTTAGAATTAAGCCCAGGGCCTGGAACTTCTCTCTGCCACTTGATCCACAACCCACCAGCCCTTTTTTGCTTTAGTTATTATTTTTTTTGATAGGGTCTCACAGAGTTTGCTTGGGCAGTTTTCAGACCACAGTCCACTTACCTATGACTCCCTTATAGCTGAGATTATAATGTGCAACACCATGCCCAGCTTTTTAACTTATTTTTGAGATAGGGTCTTGATAATTGTCTGGGCTGACTTTGAACTCTCAATATCCTTGCCTCTGCTTCCTGAGTAGCTGGGAATATAGGTATATACTACCATGCCCGTCTTGGACAATGACTTTTTTAAAAATTCAGAATTTGGCATATCAAAACCCAATAATAAAAACCCTAAAAATAATGATCCTATAATAGCTAACATCATTAGCTACATTTGTATTTGAGGCAGAAATAGTATTATGAAATAATTTTAGATCAATAGGAAAAGTTGCAAAGAAAGGATAAAGAATTCATATCTGCCCCTCCCCAGCTTACTTTAATGATAACATTTCACATAATTTCTATATTTACAGAAATGATATATTGAACATTTGTAGAATACTTTTTAACAAATCCTGTCTTGATTGAATTTAAAATGAAATGTTTTTCTTCCAGATTTTTTTCAGCAGCTCATTCAGTACACAGAAGAATACCGACATCAGCCACTGCTTAAACTCTGGATTGGGCCGGTGCCAATGGTGGCCTTGTATAGTGCAGAAAACGTGGAGGTAGGTGTATGGTAAATAAGGTAGATGCCTCACTGTACAGTTGATAGTGAGTGTTTCATCAGCACACATATAATAAATGTGTCCTTAAATTTCATTTAATTCAGTCCTTAAAAAGAACTTCACTAAACATTTAGGCTATCTAGGACCTTTTGATGCTTTCTAAATGTAAAACTCTCGATATATCTGTGCACCCTGGTCATCGGTGTCTCCTTTTTTTAGAAGGTCTGCAGAAGAATATTACTTTTAGGAATCATACATAGATTGTTCTATAAGGTTAGCTCTTGCTTTCCACCATACACACACTGAAGACTAAAATACATGACTAATAAAATATGCGTGTTTTCCTCGAGGTACTGAGGATCTCATATCAGTGATAATTTTATTACTCCACATTTAAAAAAGGAATGTGAATTTGACATTTGTAGGGTTGGTATTATTAATCCATACTACTGAAATTAGTTCTAAGAAAGTTTGTATATCTGTGCTTCTTATTGTACCACTGGGGAAACTATCTTGTGCTATGAAGAGAAAAGGGTTTGAGCCAGGGAGTAAAAACAGACTAAATAGAACTTATCTTTGTGGAACAAAATTTTAAAAAATTCCTAGCGACAGGGACATGTCTTTCTTAGTTATTGTGGTGGAAATGTTGGAGTTTCTCTCGTCCCATCTTCCAGAATCCAGCTCAGAGAAGATAGTAAGGCAGTAGGCATAGGATTTTGGCTGCTGGACCCAGTAGGAGCAGGTTTGGTATACTGCAGGTAGAGACTTGTCCCAAGTAAAGGGAACTGGGGCAAGAACTTGGGACCATTCTGTACTCATTCGGCACCCATCCATTCTACTTCATTCCAACTCTAGGAAATCCAATCATACTCATGTTTTTCAATGTTAGCTCTACACTGGAGACACTCAGCATGCATTTCTAATTCACCTTTATTCCAAACTTCACAACTGCTTTCAGGACCCCAGCAACTCAAATGACTCAAAGTCAGCACTACCTGAGAATAAACTCATTGTTTCCATCACCTAGATGTGGTCATCCTCCAGGATCACCTGCCATCTTTTTCTGTTCCCTGTATCCTCACTAAATGGAACCACCTGGCTCCTAGTTCAGGCAAGAACCAGGGAATCATCTTTTTCTTTTCCTAAGTTCCATTTAGTCCCCAAGACTGAGTGGCAGTTATATGTCAAAACTCTAATTGGGTTTCTTTGGGGGCACAGGCATCAAATGAATTGCAGATTTAAAGTTTATGAAATATTGCCTTAAAAAAAGAGGTATGTCCTAGCCAGGTATTCCTACAGTTGAAGATGTTTTGATGACTACATATCTCTGAAATATATTTTTTCTCTTCTGAAGGTAATTTTAACCAGTTCAAAGCAAATTGACAAATCCTTTATGTACAAGTTCCTAGAGCCATGGCTTGGCCTTGGGCTCCTCACAAGGTAGGTCAATGTAAATTTACAAAGCTTTCTTGTAGAAATAGGTACTTATAGGTGTAAGTTATTATTTCAGGAATTGACACAAGACAGTTTTTCTGTAGCAAGACTGTTCTCAGGAAGGAGCAGAATGACTAGAAGAAAAGGTCCACTACTGAAGAAGACAGACAGACAGACAGACAGACAGAAGTCCATGGTGTATGGTAATCTCCAGACATAGTATTCAATAGTGACTAAAACCAGTGGTCCAAGAGGAATTAGGAGGTCCTAATTTTCAAGAGCAATAAAGCAAACGAGAATCTGGAGCCAAGAAGTCTTGAATCAAAAGCCAATGGAAAAGGCAGTTAGCACCAGAAAAGTACACTGAGCAGAGTAAGCTTCACCTTGAGCTGGCATTCAAAAACTGGGCTCCACCCTCTAAGAGAGGGTTCAGCAAGCCAAAAGCAGGACACTTGTGAGGGACTTTGGAGAATTCAAATGTAGAAATGGGATAGGGTCATGGAGCATGTGGATGTCTGAGGAGTAATGTATTAATATTGGAAGAAAATGATTCTTATTTTTAGAAACTCAGAACTTAGAAATAGACAAAAATTCTTAAACTTTTTATTGGATGAATGCTATTTTAGCTATTAGCATTATAGAACAATGTCTAAAAAGTTACATTTTATAACTCTTTATGAATATTATGTATATCTTTCCAGCCAAAGCATTTGAGAATCTATAGATGAAGCTGTTTCCAGAGTTTTGTTGACTTGGCTATATTCATGATTGATTTGTTTTGGATGTTACTCCTCCTTCATTTATAACTATCTTTTTCAGTACTGGAAACAAATGGCGTTCCAGGAGAAAAATGTTGACACCCACTTTCCATTTTACAATTCTGGAAGATTTCTTGGATGTTATGAATGAACAAGCAAATATATTGGTTGATAAGCTTGAAAAACATGTTAACCAAGAAGCGTTTGACTGCTTTTTTTACATCACTCTTTGTGTTTTAGATATAATCTGTGGTAAGCCTGATTGATTTGTATCTAAAGTCATGGTATAAAGACAAAATGATCCAAATAGAAAATAGCATTCCATTAATAAGAAAAATGAGAGGCTTGGAAAGGACTCAGGATTCCTGAAGGTGGCGATACTGGTAAATTATTCAGAAGAAAAGCAAAGTCAGCCTTAGGGCACTGAGTAGAGCAGGCAGAGAAACAACATGCCAGGAAGGTCAAGGTGGGGGCGGGGAAGAAGAGGGACAGCAAGTAGGAGAAGTGGAAGGAAGAACAAGAGGAAGACACAAAGGGGAAGAGGAACAGAACAGTATTTATGTCTTTTAGTGTCTGTCACTGCAAAATGAATACAAGTGCATGATATAAATGATAGCTTCTTACCATATTTTATAGAAACAGCCATGGGGAAGAATATTGGTGCTCAAAGCAATGATGATTCCGAATATGTCCGTGCAGTTTATAGGTAAGTGGAATTCTCTTCAATTATTTATTAAATTACTATTGATTTGGGTTTTGAAAAAAATCATTGCTAATCACTCCTGTGTCAAATGTTTTTATTGTTTCTAAAATGAAACATTAAGTCAGGCCTTGTGGTACATGCATATAATCCCAGCACTCATGAGGGTGAGCAAGAGGGTCATGAAGTTAAGGTCAATTTGGGCTCCATAGTCAGGCCCTGCTTCAAAAACAAAACAAAACAATAAATGAAATATTAAACTAAAAATTAAACTCACAACTTAACCATACATGTTAGCAGTAGATGAATGGTTATGTAATTTATAGTACTCGAGATTATGCAGAAATTTAAAATGATTTTGTCTAATGTACTGAAATTATATTATGATGTTAAGTAACAAAAGAAAGGTATAAACAATTTTTGTAGTATGACAACTATTACCATATAAAATTATATAGGAAAAAAGTTAGATGAGGCTAAGTCAAAGTGCTAGCTGTGGTTATCATTGTTCTTTCCGATTGCCTTTTGTTTTTCTTGTTATTTGTTTTCTTTACCATATTTTCACACGGAGTAAGTATTGCTTTTGTAATTGAAGTAATCAATTTACTAAAATTACTTGCAGTTATTTAGCTATTAAGAGGCAGGCCAAGATTTGATTTCATTTATATTATCTTTAAATACATTGTTCATTTCTGCTCACTTTAATAAGTATTTATTGAACATGTGGAACTGTCAGTCATTGACAAGATACTTACTAATTCCATAGTGCTATGTGAAATAGAATAGCGGGGAGACAGGCACTGAGACAACAGATATAAACTTTTGAATTGCAGCAGTAATCTGGGAAGAAAAGATCAAGTTGATATTAGAGAGAAAGTAGGGGTGTGTTGTGCAGATGGAGTGATCAGAGAGAGCCTCTTTGAAGAACTGGCATCTAAGCTGGTCCTAAAAGAAGCCGAGCTTTCTGCTCTGTCACTGGAAATGAGATGCAGGTGCTCGAGGCAGCCAGGCAGCAGAGTTACATTTAGTGTGCACTTTCCTTTAAAAGAGGGCAGTCAGTTGCTTTTGATCAAATGACTGTAAAATAACACAGATTGCTTCTCTGTACCTTGGGTACAAAAAGCCCAGACAACCTTGAGAAGCTGAAAATTCACCCTGGATAAACAAAAGCACACACCAGAGGAGTCTAGTGGATTCTTCATTTTTCGAAAGAGCCCCTCCCCCCTTTTTTGGATTCATTGGATATAAAACAGCCCATTCCTTCATTTTCTAGCGTTGAGCATGGAGCTTTTTGTAATCTTGAAGACTACATTCCCATGTATTACTTTTATCAAAGCCAACCAAACAGGTGCCCAAGAACTATATTCTTCCAATGTGAAAGATGGCATGTGTTTATCTTCTTTATAGGATGAGTGATATGATACATCGGAGAATGAAGATGCCCTGGCTTTGGCTTGACTGTTGGTACCTTATGATTAAAGAAGGATGGGAACACAAAAGGAGACTGAAGATCCTACATACTTTCACCAACAATGTAAGTCATTACTTTTTTATTGTGGTAAAATATACATAACACATTCACCATTGCAGTCATTTTGGGGTATAATTTGGAGGCATTAAGTGCAACCATCAATATCTAGAATTTTTAAAAATCTGTGATTTTTATGTTTTGCTAATATACCTGATGAAGGATTGCACAGTATGTCCTGTAAAACAAAAGTGGAATTGAACAATAGTGGGAAAATGTGGTTGGTGTGATTACATTTAAATTATATATTCAAGTAATATTAATTAAGCACTTGCTAAGATCCAAACACTGTACCAAATGGTGGAAATAGGGTAAGGAATAAAGCAAATATGTTCCTTGTCAGAGCAGAGGTTAGCCTAGTAGGCAAGATTGTCTATAAATGAATAACTACAAAGTGTGATGTGGGTTATGAGCACTTATTAACATGCAAGAGGCTGGGTGAAAGAGTAAGGAAACAAATATTCTGGCGGAACGTTTGAATTAGGCAGTACTTTAAAAGGTAAAGGCATTTAAAGTAGTATATATCTTAATTTGGGAATAAAGCTAGATATTGTTGTTTTATTTCCAAATAAAAAATAATCATAAGGTAGGGATTTTTTTTGAATGTAGTATATGACTCTTTGTATTAAAGGTGTATTTATAAGGCCAAGGTACAGTGGGTCATGCCAGCTACTCAGGAGGCAGACATTGGGAGGGTCATGGTTTGGGGCCAGCCCAGACGAAAAGCCCAGGTCCCCATCTCGACAAATAAGCTAGATGTGCTGGTATGTGCCTATGATCCCAGCTATGTGGGAGGCATAGATAGGAGAATCAAGGTCTGAGGCAAAAACATGAAACCATATCTGAAAAATAATGAAAGTGTAAAAAAAAAGGCGGAGAGAGGGGAAATGGTGGCATGATTCATGGTAGAGCACCTGCAAGCAAGTTGAAACCCTGAGTTCAAACCCCAGTGCTACTAAAAATGTTTTTAAAAGATAAATTTGTGAAAAGCCAGATTGAATTAAAACTATACATCCAGTTATAATTGAAATGTACTGAACAAAGTGCCTATTTAAATAGATTCTTTCTTTGCTGTAAATTTTAATTGAAATATATTGGAATTGTTTCCTTATGGTGAGGAACATTCTGTCACCAGCAGATCAAATGATTAACAAGCCAGTAGATGCTAAATGAGGGAGATATTGTCTTGAGTTGGCCATGGTAGAGTCACAGGAAAAGACTAGCAAACAGGCTGTATTTTATAGTTACCTTTTTCCTTCAATTTCATGCACTAATATTAATATCATTAATTAATGAATTTCACACTGGATTGACAATGTCATTCATTTTATAAATCTTGAAAATTGCATACTGAGACCTAAACACTGTGAGTTCCACAAAGAGTAAAAGAAAATGGTATTTTGTCCCTAAAGAGTTTAGGGTCAATCAGGTCATTGGAGCTATTTAATAGCATGCTTGACAAGTGGCCTGATAGGAAAAAGAAAGTTGAAAATGTGTAACTAAATCAAGTATATAGACTTCAATCCTTTTATTCATTCAACAGGTATCTTGTGAGCATATTTTTTTGGTGGTGTTACTTTGAACTCAGAGCTTTGCACTGAGTGCTCTACCACTTGAGCCACACTCCCAGCCCTTTTTGCTTTGGTTATATTTTTGAGATAGGGTCTTGCTTTATGTTCAGATTGGCCTGGACTGCGATATTTGTTTTGTGCTTCCTTGTGTAGTTGGGCATGACAGGTGAGGTCCATTGGTTGAGATGGGGTCTCAAAAGCTTTTTGCCCGAACTGGCCTCAAACCACAATCCTGATCTTAGTTTTCCAGGTAGCTAAGATTATAAGTATGAGTCACTGTCCCTGCCTAATGAGCATTTTTAAAAGTCAGCCAGTGCTTCAAAGTTCTAAATTTAGAAATTTATTAATGAAAAAAGACACTCACTGCCCTATGAATAGGACTGTTTGAGTTGAAGGAGAAACACACTAAATTGTAAATGTAATGTCAGGTGATAAGTGAAATGAAGAAAAATAAAGAAGAGTTCTGAAGAAGATAGTGAGTGGTGGGAATGAAGGCAGCAGTAATCAGGGAAGGTCTTGGTAGTGTGACAATGAGCAAAGGCCTGAAGGAAGAGACAGCTGGCCATGCAGACTTCAGAGGACAAAACCTTCTAGTCAGAAGAACCAGCATACAGAGTGAATTGAATTACTTACTTGTTTCTTTTTTCCAATGTAACAGGTAATTAGACTGATGTATAATTTGTCTATTAAGTAATAATACTACTTAAACTTTCTTGGAGAAAACAGAACCTTTTTCTCTAAGGTTCTGTTTAGTAGAGTACGGCTCTATTTCTGTGCTAGAAGGACTACAGACATAGTGCTTGAAAAATCATGCATTTTCTGACATTACATTTTTGACAGTTTTGCCAAATAATGTTCAAAGTGTTAATAGAAGGCTTTAAAGTATTTGTACATGGCCTAGATTGTTGAACTGGAAAGGTTTAGAAAAAATAACTTGAAGAAATATAGCATATTTTTATAGGGAAATGTGGCCTTATCATATCCAAACAAGTCTGTGGCTATCATTAAAATCCCACAGGTCATTGCTGAGCGGACCAATGAAATGATGGCAGAGGAAGAATGTAGAAGTATGAACAGGGACCCTGCTCCCTCCAAAAATAAACGCAAGGCTTTTCTCCACCTGCTTTTAAGTGTGACTGATGACAAAGGGAACAAGCTAAGTCAAGAAGATATTCGAGAAGAAGTTGACACCTTCATGTTTGAGGTATTTTATATGGTCAGGTTACTTTCAGGTATCTTTAACACACTCCAGGTTTCAGGGTTTAGCTTAGTGATAACCTGCCTGCCTAGCACATGGGATGCTGGGTTCCATCCCAAGCTATGCAAAAAACAACAACAAAAAACAAATTCCAGTTACATTTAGAATCTTTAGCCTAATTAAAAAAAATTAAGCACATGGTAGTTTAATGCAACTGAGAAAGATTTACTATATTGTCATCACAAATTACAAGTTAAGAACATATTTAAGTACTAGATCAACTTTCTTGCTCAGAAAAAGATTTTAACTAGTGCTTGACACCGAATTAGACACATTTTTCTTTCTTAAGAAAACTTAAGGTTCATCAGACTTTTCCCAAGAAGAGCAGCCAGAAATTGCTCTCAGTTTTCCATGTTCCTTTATATTTCTTTGTAACCTCCCAAGCCCACAAGTTTACCTCCTCACTGCCTTCTTTAGAAGTTCTAACAAGTGGGCACTTAGCCACTGCTATGAGTTGCTTTAGATGAACAGGGTAATAAGAGCTCTTCAACAGAGGACCTAAGGAGTTTGTGGTTCTGAAAAGATCTCTGGTCTTTGAATTTTTTCAAAAAAGTTCTTCTTGTGATGGGTGTGTTGGTGTATACCTGTAATTCCTGCATTTAGGAGATGGAGGCAGGCAAGTCACAAGTTTAAGGCCATACATAGTTCTAGGCCAGACTGAGGTATATAGTGAGATCACACCTCTCCTCAAAAAATCAAAACCAAAGCAAAACAAAACAAAGCAAAAAGCAAACTGCTTCTTTTTTTCTCTTTTTCCTCCCTCCCTCCCTCCCTCCCTCTCTCCCTCCTTTCCTCCCTCTCTCCCTCCCTCCCTTACTTCCTCCCTTCCCACCTCCCTCCCTCTTTCTTTCTTCCTTCCTTCCTTCTCTCTTTCCTCCTTCCCTCCCTCCCTTTCTTCCTTCCTTCCTTCTTTCCTTCTCTCCTCCCTCCCTCCCTTCCTTCCTTTTTTTGGTTTTTAGAAATAGGATTTCACTATGTAGCCCCTCAAATTCACCATCTTCCTGCCTCCACCTCCCTGAGCGGTGGGATTGCATGAGCACACCACCAGGCCTGACCCAAAAATTCTTCTCACAAATATATTAAATATTACAAAGAGTGAATCTTTCTATATGTGGATTGCCAAATGAAAATAAATGTTTTTTTTTAAACCTCATGTAGTAATAGCCTCCAAGTGGTAAATTATTGTTGGATATAATGCTGGGGCTTGAACATTCTTTTTAAATTTTAGTTTAACTTGTTTATTTTTTGATGGCTCTGGGGTTTGAACTCAGAGCCTTGTCATTCTGTTAGCCCTTTTTTGATGTTGATTATTTTCTAGATAAGGTCTCATGAACTATCTCTGATCTCTGCCTCTAGCGTAGCTACGATTTTAATTTAATATTTTAATTGATAAATAATGTGATGTTTTGGTATATGTACACATTGTGGAATAATCATATTGGGTTAACTAATGTGTCCATCACCTTACATACTTATCTTTTTATGTGGCGAGAACTTTTAAAATTCATTCTTTTGGCAGTTTAACAATAGGATTAAGAATAGGATATTGTTAAACATACCACACTGTAGAATATATCACCAGGTCTTGTTCCTGTTCTCTAACTGAAAGTCACAGTCTTTTGACCAGTGTCTCTCTTTCCCCATCCACCCACCCCACTCCAGCCTCTGGTGACAGCATTCTGCTCTCTAATTCTATGAGGTCAACTTTTCAGTTTCCACATGAGTGAGCTCATGTGGTATTTTTCTCTCTATTCTGGCTAAGTAAAACTGAACTAGTTTCCTCTAGATTCATGCATATTGTCAGTAATGACAGAAGTAACTTGTTTTTTTAAGGCTGAATAGTATTCCACTACACACACACACACACACACACATCTCACAGTTTTGGGATATTTTTTTGTGGTACTGGGGTATGAACACAGGACCTCATGCTTGCTAGCCAAGTACTCTCCCACTTGAGTCACACCCCCAGCATCTTTTCCCATTTCTCTAATAGGGCTTCACGTTTTTGCCCAGGGCCACCGATCGTCCTATCTATGCTTTCCTCATAACTGGAATTATAGGTGCATACCACCATGTCCCACCTATTTGTTGAGATACTGTTTCCCTGGGCTGGTCTAAATACATGATCCTCCTGATCTCTGCCTCCATGTAGTTGGGGGTATAGCATATACCACCATGCCCAGTGTAAGCCACAGTTTTTAAGCCAGTCTGCTGTTGATGGATACTTCAGTTGTATAGTCTACACATTTGATATAATTTTATCAAAATTCCAATGACATTTTTCAGAGAAATAAAAAAGTTCTAAAATTTATATGGAACCACAAAATACACAGAAAGCCAAAGCAATGTTGAGTAAAATGAACAAAGCTGTAGGACTCAATACTGCTTAACTTCAAAGCACACTACAAAGCTATAGTAGTCAAAACAGCATAGTACTGGCGTGAAAACAAACGTAGATCAACAGAGCAAAATAGAGAACTCAGAAATAAATCAAGACATTATAACCAATTGATGCTTGACATGGGTGTGAAGAATATACAGTGGGAATGTCTTAATAGATGGTGCTGGAAAAAGTAAATATTCACATGTAGAAGAACAAAGAGGGGCCCTGTGTCACTTCTTACACAAGAATTAATCCAAAATGGACTAAAAATGTACATATAGGTCCTAAAACTGCAAAAGTCTTAAGAAGAAGAAAATTGGAGCTAGAAATATAGCTCAGTGGTGGAGTGCTTGCCTCATATCACATGCATGAAGCCCTGAGTTCAATCCCCAGCACAAAAAAAAAAAAAAGAGAAGAAAAGAAAAGAAAAATAAGTAGTGGAGCTTGATTTGATCAATGATTTCTTGGATATGATCCCAAAAGCAGAGGTGACAAAAGCAAAAGCAACCAAGTGGGATTTGTGCACACGTTCGACCTGTAGAGTGAGGCTCTGAGTCACAGTGGAAGAAAGAGTTGTTAGAAGTCTGCAAAGCCGAGTTCTAGTTCTGGTTCTATGCTTATTAGCCAAGTGAAGTGGTTCCACTCATTTTAGATCTCAACCACAGTTTCTCTATGTGTGTGAAAGAGAGAAAGGGAATGATGGTTTTCAACTTCCCTTTTGGGTAACTCGGTGGTAGAGCATTTGCCTAGCATGAATGAGGCTTTGGGTTCAATCTCCAGTACCACAAAACTAGCACACAAACATACCCTTAAATTTCCTTTTTAAGGTGAACTTTTGAAAAGAAATCTTAAGCAAAAAATTGAACTACAAATTAACTGTAAAATAAAGAGGCCTTAAGTGCAGGGTTCTAAAAGCCACATCTCAGTTCTAGTATACACTACATGTGTGGCCTCAGGCACCTCCTGGGGCTTTCTGGGCCTCTGTAGTCTTTTTTCCTTCCTTCTTTCCTCTTATCCCTTCCTCCCCCACCTCCCTCTCCTTCCCTTCCTTCCTTCTTTCTTCAGTTCTAGGATGGAATTGAGTGCCCTGCTCGTGCTAAGCAAGGACAAGGACCACTGAGTTATACCTCCAACCCTGTTTTCTTATCTCAATAACACAGTACTCATGGAGCAATTATTACAATTAGATTTTTTAAGTGCGCTGAGATGCATGCCTGTGCATTGGAAGCGTGGATCAAATATACGCTATTAATGTTTTAACAACCAAATTAATCAAATTAATCACGTAATCAAATTAATTACTTGATGTTGAAGTAGAGCTCTTATATCTCCACCTTCCTCATGTTCACAAACATACATACACTCATGAACACACATGTACATACATGTATATATGCACACAAACATATATCCAACTCCTACCAGGTGTTGCTCTTGTGAAAACAACCAGGTTAATAATCTCTTCCTGGCAGTTCTGAATTCTTTGAACTTCTAATACTCTTCTTTGCCTTCAATAGGAGGCATACCATGTATAACTGTTTTATTGCAGCCTCATCTGTGAGCAGGATGCAGGCCGTTCACTCCAGGTCTTTCGTGCCATGGTCCCAGCCAGTAGAAATTAAGGTGTAGGCACCTCCCATATTCTATGTATTTTTCCATAAACTCTGGGCTTCATGTTTTGTTTCTTCCTAAAACAGGAAGTTCAGCAGACAGCTCCTCCTACACATTTGGATCAAGCTTGCACTCATAAATTAAACAAAAGCTACTAAAATGATTTAGCAAGAGCTCCTCCTTACATGACTTAGTAGACAAATGCTCAGTTCTGTCAAAATGGTGTGGATCCTGTCTGGAGTTCCAAGAAGTTTCTGCAAAGGAACTGCAAGAGTAAGGAAATGCAATGAGTTACACTGTCAGAAATGTGTAGACTATAGATTATAAAAATTGCAGAATAAGCCTCAAGCAATTCAATTTACCAGATATTGGATAAAACAAATACTTTGGAGATTTCTGCTCAGAAAATGAAATATTACAATGAGCACTTAGGTTGCAAAGAGAAAATGAGAAGGCAAGATCTATAGAGGAGTTAATGTTTCCTTTTTCCCTAAAAGTCTTATTCCTAGAGCAATACTATTATTGATTTCTCTAATGCATTATTTTCCTCAGAAGAACTCACCACTCTTATGTATGGAAAAGTCCTAGTGAGATGAGGCTAGGAGCTAAGAGGTCAATACCTAAAACATTGAGTGAGTACAGGTTGTCTAGGATACTGACATTAGTCTTAGAGGTAGAACCACCAGACAGCTGGAGATGGGGAGAATATGGGTTATGCTTTGTCATCAAACAATCTGGGGTTAGCTCCTACTTTACCTTCTACTAAGCTGCCTGCCCTTGGAGAAGATATTTGACTTTAAAATATGGATAGGAATCGTGAATAGCTCCTAGAGTTTTTGTAATGATTAGTTTCTAAAAAATATCTCATATTTTGTCTAAAACACAGCAAGTATTAAATAGGCTATTTATCAACCTTTCCAGTTAGAGGATAGTGCTCAGAAGCACTCACAGGGTTGTGTGTCGTGATGTGTGGTGGGCCTGTGGTCCCAGCTACATGGGAGGTGTAGGCATAAATACAAGGATCATGATTTGAGGCTGTCCCCATACAAAAACACAAGTCCCTATCTGAAAAATAACTAAAGCAAAAAGGACTGGGGATGTAGTTCAAGTGACAGAGCATTTGCCTAGCAAGCATAAGGTCCTAAGTTCAAACCCTAGTACCACCAAACAAACAAACAGCACATACACACACACACACCCTGGGGTCCAACAGCAAAAGGGAAAAGTAGAAAAGTACCTCTGATGAGTTGACTCATAAAAGTTAAGCATTTATTCCCCTTCAAAAGGTCTAGCTAACCAAGATCCCTTTGTGTACCACTCCTTATTACTGTCACGTCCCACCAAGTGTGCAACAGTGTGAGGCATTGAAGTATCAGTAATCAGTAAGCATGAACCTCTGCTTTTTTTGTTGTTTGTTTGTTTGTTTTCTGGTACTGGGAATTTGGACTCATGGCCTAGCACTTGCTTGGCAGACTCTACCATTTAAGCCATACTGCCAGCCCATGTACCTCTGCTTTTAAGGTGTTATTTTGTTTGTTCTCATGGCAGTGAGAGGCTGTATAGAAGTAATTTATGTTCAGCTGTCAAGTGTGGGAATAATTCAAAAGAATTAGGATAGCCATTCCTAATCTTTTCAAGAGGACTCTACTTTTAAGCTTTTTTCTCTCTTACATTTGTAGGGTCATGATACAACTGCAGCTGCTATTAACTACTCCTTATACCTGCTGGGTTGTTATCCAGAAGTCCAGCAAAAAGTGGACAATGAACTGGACGAAGTGTTTGGTATGTTTGGGCTCCTCACTAGCTCTGTTGTGGGTCCTAAGTCCCCCAAAGCAAACGTCACTCTTGCTCATTAGAGATGTGCAGGACAACCTGTTCTAAAGCCACTATCATAAGTATACAGGACCCAGTTGTGCACCAGCCTTCTTTGCAAGGCCTCTTGCCATCCTTGCAAGCATTTACTATTTTCCTGGCTCATGACTGCCTTGGACTGGACACTGGGGTTGCAAGGTCCTCAAGGGTCCCACTGCTTAATAGATGAAACAGACACACGTATAGGAAGGCTTGAGTCATGGGCTATAGCCTTGAGTGATGCAAAAAAGGTGCTGTTTGGGAGCTCAGAGAAGCAAGCGAAGGAAAGCAGGGTAAAGGAAAGCTGCTTATCTATATCACCCTATACCAAGATTAACTCAAAATGGATCAAGGATCTTAATATCAGACCACAAACTCTAAAGTTGATACAGGAAAGAGTACGAAATACTCTGGAGTTAGTAGGTATAGGTAAGAACTTTCTCAACGAAACCCCAGCAGCACAACAACTAAGAGATAGCATAGATAAATGGGACCTCATAAAGCTAAAAAGCTTCTGTTCATAAAAAGAAGTGGGCTCTAAACTGAAGAGAACACCCACAGAGTGGGAGAAAATATTTGCCAACTATACAATGACAAAGGACTGATAACCAGAATATATAGGGAACTTAAAAAACTAAATTCTCCCAAAACTAATGAACCAATAAAGAAATGGGCAAGTGAACTAAACAGAGCTTTCTCAAAAGAAGAAATTCAAATGGTCAAAAAACACATGAAAAAATGTTCACCATCTCTAGCAATAAAGGAAATGCAAATTAAAACCACGCTAAGATTCCACCTCAACCCTGTTAGAATAGCCATCATCAGCAACACCACCAACAACAAGTGTTGGCGAGGATGTGGGGAAAAAGGAACCCTCTTACACTGTTGGTGGGAATGTAAACTAGTACAACCACTCTGGAAAAAAATTTGGAGGCTACTTAAAAAGCTAGACATTGATCTACCATTTGATCCAGCAATACCACTCTTGGGGATATACCCAAAAGACTGTGACACAGGTTACTCCAGAGGCAACTGCACACCCATGTTTATTGCAGCACTATTCACAATAGCCAAGTTATGGAAACAGCCAAGATGCCCCACCACTGACAAATGGATTAAGAAAATGTGGTATCTATACACAATGGAATTTTATGCAGCCATGAAGAAGAACAAAATATTATCATTCGCTGGTAAATGGATGGAATTGGAGAACATCACTCTGAGTGAGGTTAGCCTGGCCCAAAAGACCAAAAATCTTATGTTCTCCCTCATATGTGGACATTAGATCAAGGTCAAACACAACAATGGGATTGGACTTTGAGCACATGATAAAAGTGAGAGCACACAAGGGAGGGGTGAGGATAGGTAAGACACCAAAAAATTAGCTAGCATTTGTTGCCCTTAACGCAGAGAAACTAAAGCAGATACCTTAAAAGCAACTGAGGCCAATAGGAAAAGGGGACCAGGAACTAGAGAAAAGGTTAGATAAAAAAGAATTAACCTAGAAGGTAACACACACGCACAGGAAATCAATGTGAGTCACCTCCCTGTATAGCTATCCTTATCTCAACCAGAAAAAACCCTTGTTCCTTCCTATTATTGCTTATACTCTCTCTACAACAAAATTAGAAATAAGGGCAAAATAGTTTCTGCTGGGTATTGAGGGGGTGGAGGGGAGAGGGAGTGGGCAGAGTGGGTGGTAAGGGAGGGGGTGGGGGCAGGGGGGAGAAATGACCCAAGCCTTGTATGCACATATGAATAATAAAAGAAAAAAAAAGGAACGCTGCTTTATATGCAACTGCACCTGACCACAAATGAGAGAAAAGGTGGGTGAAGCAGACAGAGATAAATTTCTGTTATACAGCAATCTAGGGGTAGAGCTCTAGGCTGATGCCAATAGGGGTGGCTCAGTTCCCAGGCTTGCTCTTTTCTGTCTCCCTTCTTTACCGTCTTGGCTTTTGTCTCCTTCATTGTTGTTCTAGACGTTATACTCATCTGCAGAGCAAGAAAAGGGAAGTGGAGCTGAGTGTTGTGCTTGTTTCCTGTGGCTGTTGTAACAAATTCCACAAACTGGGAGGCTTAACACAACAGAAACATTATGTCATAGTTTTGGACACCAGAAGTCCAAAATCAGTATCACTGAAACTAAATCAACATGCTGATAAGACTGTAGTCCTGAAAAATTCATTCCTCATTCCTTCTGGTGAATACAAACGATACAAAAGCACATCAGACTTTTCTCTCTGCCTTCATATTGCCTCTGTGTGTGTGTGTGTGTGTTTGATATAGAGTTCACCTGGATAATCTAGGATAATCTTCAATTCTTAGGTTCTTAATTTAATCACATTTGCAAAGACCCATTTTTCCAAATAAGAACCTTTACAGGTTCCAGAGATCAGGTCAGGACCTAATATTTGGAGATCTGTTATCAATTTACCATAAAGGGCTATCATCAATTTTATTCTTTTTAAAATCATAGGTAACATGGCTCCCCATAGCTGGAGAGCTAAAAGGAAAAAAAGTTGGATTATCCAACTAGCATTGTGGTATCTGATGCAATTTCATTGAGAAAAGAAGTAGGGAATAAAAAATAGAGGAAAAAAAGTTGCAGAGGAAAAACATTCTAGAAAGAGAGGAACCAGATGAACAGTGGCCCACAGTAGACAATTCTGCTTTGAAGAACAAGAGGAGTGAGCAAGGCTAGAATTCTGGGCATTTGGTAGAATATAGAATTCAGAGAGAAGGTTGGGAAGGAGATTTCATTTTGTAGACTGGAGATAATCTAAGCTTTTTGGTTCTATTTCTGTAGTCTTCTTATTTTTTCTGTATTGATTTTAATTTACCTCAAACTACCTCAGGTAGGTAAATTTGGTCTCCAATTGCTCTCAAGTTATATTAGAGTAGGTTCACATTTTTTGTATCCTCTATAATTTCTATCTCATTGCAGGTTAATCTCACATAATTATCAACACAGTCATTATTACTATGATCTTTGTTTTCACTTATTGTGCCTCCGTTTTTCTAAAATATCAGTTCTCTAATTAGTTCTAAAAACTCTGAGGAACTAATTTTTAACTCTGAGCTGTAAGTATATCAACTCCTTTCATTATTTTTTTTACTGAAGTAAATGTCACATAACATAAAATCTAACATTTTAAAATGCACAATTCAGTGGAATTTGGGACATTCACAGTGTTGTGCACTTGTCACCTCTAATTCCAAACTATTTTCAGTACCCCAAATGGAAATCTTGCAACATTAACCCTATACCTGCTTTTTTCCCCCAACCTCTGAAAACCACCATTTTGATTTCTGTCTTCATAAAAAAAATCATACAATATGTGACATTTTGTGTCTGGTTTCTTCTGCTTACCATATTGCCTTATTTTATTTTGATTATGCATACTATTAGAAATTCTATCTTAGTTGTGAGCACCAAACATTTAGTATTTTGACTCATGAATTCTTTGATATCCTTGCCACCTGGAAGTCCAGATATTTCTTTCATTTTCACTTTCTATATTGATTTTAATCAGGGAAGTCTGATCGCCACGCTACCTTGGAAGATCTGAAGAAGCTAAAATACCTCGAGTGTGTCATTAAGGAGACTCTTCGTCTTTTTCCTTCTGTCCCTTTTTTTGCCCGGAGTCTTAGTGAAGATTGTGAATTGGGTAAGTATTCTGTATTAGAATAAAAGGGAGAGAGGAATTTTTGTTACGTTGATCCTGCTTCAATCTTATGACATATCACTCATCTTCTTGACAGCGGGTTTCAGAGTAGTGAAAGGCACTGAAGCAGTCATCATCCCATATGCATTGCATAGAGATCCCAAGCACTTCCCAGATCCCGAGGAATTCCAGCCAGAACGGTTCTTTCCTGAGAATGCCCAAGGACGTCATCCATATGCTTATGTGCCCTTCTCTGCTGGACCCAGAAACTGTATAGGTTTGTATCCAACCTGAACAGGTCTTACCTTTCAGGCCCACCTGATAGCAGGTTTCCCACATGGTTTCTTTGACATGTCGTGTGACATTTCCCATATGCAACAGGCTTAAAAACACTGGCTTCTTTTTCCCTCCACTTTACATTATCATTGTAAAATGATGTTAGTAAGCATATTATTTTGCTAGGGCTGACCTAACAAAGTACTGCAAATAGGATGACTTAAACAGAAATCTGTTTTTTTCATGGTTCTGGAGGCTAAGATGTCAATAGGATTGGTTTCTTCTGAGTTCTTTCTCTTTGGCTTATAAATGGCTGCCTTCTCCCTATCTTCACTTGGTCATCGATCTGTGCATGCCTGTGATTTAATTGTCTCTACAGTCAAATTATATTAGGACTTATTCTAATAACCTCATTAGAATTTAACCATTTAATGTTAATTTCCTCTTTAAAGACCTATCTCCAAATATAGTCACAATCTAAAACGCTATGGGTGTCAGGACTTCCATGTATGAATTTAGGTGAGAACACAATTCAGTTCATAACATGATGAAGATTCAGTTTCTTTATAGAGTTTTAAAATGTCGTGGATTTGGGCAGAATATAATTTATTGTGGTTGAAAAATTATATGACTAACCAGGCTTAATTTCATTTTGTATTCATTATTTTAAAAATTGCATTTTGCAAAACCAAAACAAAGGCTACTTGCTGTATGACTAGTTGAAATACTTAAGCAAAATGAGTGTACTTCAACATGTATCAAAAGCACCTTCGGCCTTTGTATCTCTAACATCTTATCACTATATAAAAGCAGACATTAATAAAAAGGAGGCTGGTTTGTTGTTGACTCTTAGAAAATTAAAGAGGCAACAAGAAGCAATCCAGAATAGTTATTTTTGAGCCTGAATGAGCCCAGAATACACCTGAGATCCAGTCATTTCTGGGTTCCTTGAGGAATTAGTTCTAGGATCTTCCGAAGCCAGTAAAACCTGCAGATGCTCAAGTTCCTTATATAAAATGTCCTAGCATTTACATAGAACCTACACATATCCTCGGGTACATTGTAAATTAAGTCTAATTTACTTACAATACCTAATAAAATATAAGCTCTATGCAAACAGTTGCTATACTGAATTGTTTGGGGAGTAATGATGAGAAAAAAAAGTTTGTGCATGTTTAGTAGAGATAGTTTTTGAATATTTTGGATCTGTGACTGGTTGAATCTGAAGATCTAGAATTTGTGGATATGGAGGGCCCCCTGGACAGATAAAATAGAGATTTCCTGGCCCACCACAGTAAATCAGACATGATTTAGGCATAGAAAAAGGTACCCCAAAATCTTCATTTTAAACTAACATTCCAAGTGATTCTGATTTTTTTAAGGGCCTTTGTGTGAAATATAAAATTGCTTATTTCTGTAGCAGGGCCTCTTATTTCTCACATTTGAGCTTTATCTGTAATTAAAGTGATGGTATTTGCATTAATTTGAAGGTCAAAAGTTTGCAGTGATGGAAGAAAAGACCATTCTTTCCTGTATCCTGAGACATTTTTGGGTAGAATCCAACCAGAAGAGAGAAGAACTTTGCCTGGCAGGAGAGTTGATTCTTCGGCCAACAAAAGGCATCTGGATCAAGTTGAAAAGGAGAAATGCAGAGAAATCCTGACTGCGTTCTCATGCTGAGCTAATGCCATGAAAAAGCTCGTTGCATAGGAGAACCTCGGAGTTCACAACTTATAGATCGTGTGCTTTGTACTCAGAATCCCCAGACCTAATGTTTTCTTGCCCTCACTGATGGAGAGTTTTATGTATTTTCATTACTGTTATAGATGTCATGTTATGCCTGGTCTTGGTCTCAAAGGTCAGTACCCAAATAAACATACAACAAGTTTCTCAAAAGAGAGGATCCATACACCAATTCAACTTCATTGGATAGAATCAAAGGGTATAATTTAATTAAAGTTCCAGAATTTTTAAAAGGCATTCTTGATAACTCAGAAATTTGCATCATGTAATTCAAAAATAGTGAATAATTAAGCCCTTTAACTCAAGAGCTTAAGGTTTTTATCAGTGGCATCAGTTATAAGTTTAGATTTTATTTCCTCAAGTAAATCATTTACATGTTGACTCAAGTTCTATGTAACTTTTCTTTTTGACACTTCACTTCTAGTCTTCTTTCCATTCTTTGTAGAGTTATCATTACCTTTATGCATCATATTACTGAAGAGATTCCTCTTGGAGATCTCCAAATGCTCACAGTGCCTTGCAAGTTTAATTCATGGCTTTCAGGATTGGAGTAGCCTGTACTCCCTTATGTTGGGAATAGGAGGATGAAATCAGTAAGAAAGTAAATTTCTGCTGAATCCTGCTACTAGTTGAGGCAGGGCTGGAAATAGACAAAGGCCTGTCCTCTAAATCTTTCCACTCCCATTGTGATGAACTCTCCACTACATGATTATTAGAACTCAGGACTTCTACCTCTGACTTGAGCGTATTTCTTTTGGAATTCTTCCACCTTTCAGGGAAAAAAAGCTGTTCATCCATATTTAGTAACCAGTAATATTTCATGTGGTTTTCACTGTAATTAATTCAATCCTGTGCAACATACCTATTATTAAGCTGATAACTGATACACATTCTCTAGATTCTAATTTGGTACATAATACCTCTATTCCTAAATCAATATTTTTTAAAAAAAACTCTCTTTTAATAAATAACTCTCAATAAATAAGATAGGTTGTTTTGTTTTCATTTTTCCAAGGCACTAGCAGATAGAAGCAACAAATGAAGAGGGTAGAACAAACATTCTTCAGTGGATATCAAAGGAAGAGGTTACAAAACTTCAGCCCTCTGGCAAGCATTATAGCCTGGAGCAGTGCTAGCAGCTGTACCCACTTAACTATCCAAAGACCCCCCCCAGGGAGTACAATCCTGCCCCTAAATTGATGGGGAAAAATGTAAGTAGATGGTTTTAAAAAGATTCCTATCAAATGGTTAGCCTCCTTATCTAGAAAATGGATATATGTAGAACATCTCATCCTCAGATGATTTTTGGATAAGAAAAGTTTATTATTTCTCAATTTATTCACTCATATTTAATGTTTGCCTTTTATTTTTAATAACCCTACATTAGGTATTAAATGAAATTTTAAAATAAAACATTGCTTAACTTTGTTCTTTGGTCTAAGATCTCCATTTAGCCCCAGAATAACTTGTTACTTATATTTTAATTGGTAATTCATTTAAACTTTATCAGAGTTAGACCTGAAAAATGTGTCATCTTCCATATCAAAATGTGGATGGTGTTTTTTTTTATAAGAAAGCAATCAAATATCTGTTTGTGTTCCCATTATTTGTCTTAGTCCTGCTGAAAAAAGGCATCTCAAGAAAATGAAATTATATTTTCAACTTGAATGCTACATTTTATTCTGAGAATTGATTCCTGTTTGAAACATAGATAACTTTTAAAGATAAATCAGTGTCCTCTGAATCATAATGAGTAATAGAAGCAAGAGCGCTTTTGTGTTGGTGTCATCAATTATACTCAGGCTTTCTAATAGATTGATTATGAATATCACTGATGGAAGAATAAGCTCAAGGAGAAGTAGAAACACCAGAGCATCTTGCTCAGCTGGTAGTAGGAAGTAAAATCTCCCAGGGCTACCTGGGTGTCAGCAAAAGCCACTAGTGTCATTGGGTTTCAGGGATTTTGAGTTTACAAAGTTCTCTAGATGATGGACTATTGCACTGGTGCACTATTCATTGCCACCAATAATGAGAAATGTCAGTTTTCTGGACCAACTGGCTTGTCTCACGATTAAGCGATGTTGCTCAGAAAAAGATCAGTATTTATCCTAGATTGTTTCTAAAAGGATAAAAGTATCTTTCTTTCCAACATCTAATGAGATACTTAACAGGTACACTTAAATTTTAGTTAGTTTGCCTGGAGACCTACTTTTTAAAGGACTAGCATGCTTTTAGTTTTGGAACTATCTAAGGTAGCTAGCTTTTTTATCACTGTAGCAAATACCTGCAGAAAAAAAATTAAAAAGGAGGAAAGATTTATTTTGGTTCTCAGTTCCAGAGGTTTCAGTCCAAAGTCAGCTTGATGCCTTGCTTTGGACTGGAGGTGAAGCATAATATGACAGCAGCAGTGTGTGCTCATGACTGCCAAGAAGCAGAGGACGCAAATGCCCATGGTAACAGGCTCCTTCTTCCCCCTTTATTTTATCCAGACACCAAGTCTATAGGATAATGCTGTCCACATTAAAAGCAAGTATTCTTCCGTTAGTTAACCGTCTTTGGAAATACCCTCACAGACACACTCAGAAACATGCTTATTAAACTCCTATGTATCTCTTAATTCAATTAAATTGGCAAGATTAACCATCATTAATCCCTGTCAACTTGACATCCAAACACATCTCCTTATACCATACTTAATCACCAGGTAAAGGCAATAGCCAGATCACAATTCCACTTTATCTGATACAACTGTTCTGCATGCAACCAAAACATGCAGTAAATCCTTCCCCAAAGTCTCAACAGTTCCAGTATTACCCAAAAATCGCAGCTAGAACTAAAGAAAGGAGATGGTTAATCTCCTTGGGTGAAACATTTGATTTCTTTACTTATTTATTCATCGTTTCACTCTCAATAAATATCTAGCAAGTACTATTCAGGGTTCTGGGCAAAGAGAGCAAAAACACTGAAGTCCCAGTCCTAACAACAAGGTGTTAAAGATGGTGGGCATCAGAAAAACAGAAATGAATGAATTGGTAAGAAAATGCCAGGTAACAGCAAGTGCTGTGAAGGAAAATGAAGCATGGTAAAGGGACAGGGGGAGCAGAGGCAGTACTTTCTCAGATGTGATATATAAAAATGGAGCTCTGAGGAGATGGTGTTTGAGCAGAGATCTGCCTGAAGTGTTTATGTTGGGGGTGGAGGTGGGGAATAACTCAGATGACAGTGGCCCAGGAAGAAGTTGGAGGATGTTTAAGGGAAGGTTTTGGAGAAGAATCCTCTTCTAGGCTTATTCAGTTCATTGGAAGCATTCAGTTCTTTGTGGCTGCAGACTTGAGTCTCATTTTCTCTCTGACTCTTGTACAGTTATCACTGTCAGGTACTTGCCTCAAGGCCCCTGCATCTCAAAACCAGCATGGTCCCTCTCACACTTTGAACCTTTCTGGCTTCTCTTTGTACTAATAGAAAGCTCTGTTTTTAAGGGACTCCTGTAAGGAGATTAGGCCCCCTGAATAATCTCCTTTTTGATTAACTCACACACAGCTGAATAGTAATCTTAATTACATCTGCACAATTGCTTTTATCATGTATCATAATCAGAGACAGTCAATTCTCTTGGTGTTCATAGTCCCCAAGATTAGAGGGGGAAATTTGGAGGAACATTTTAGAATTCTGCCTACCTCTCTCTCTTTTCAATTTAATTGATTTGGCTGTCTCAAATTCACAGGGAAATGTTTAGTTTTTTTTATAGTATTACTGGAACACAAATTCTGTTTCATTGCAAGAAAAATTCAAAAATAAGAGTACATTTAAATAAGTTTAAATCTCTTATCTCACCTTTTAAGGCAATAATTTCTGAGTCTCTGCTTTGCTGTGAAGGCAGGGTGCTTTTTTTGTCCCAATCTTTTTTGCCTTTTGAACTTGATAGCAAGTCCTCTTACTCTGAACAGAGCAGAGGGTTCTTTTTGTTGATTGTTGATGTGCCAGTGAAGATTGTGAATCTATACAAGCACAGCACGCATATTTAAATATGCTACCTCATTATAGCTGAGACTATTTATTGGCAACATCACCCTACATTTCTAATAAATACAGTTCTGCATTCTAGCAATATACATAAAATATTTATGAATCAACTCTCTCCAAATCTAATTTACCCATTAGAATGATGTACTGTAATTTTGAAAAAAAAATAGAAACCTGGGAAGATTTAATGGGCAAGTGATTGTGGACCTCAAATTTTTTAAAGGCACAAAGGAAGGAATAAATTACTTTGTGTCCCCGTAGGAAAATCTAGGGCTGAAAATTAGAAGTTGCAAGCTGGTATATATTTCAGTATATCGGTGGGTCTCTAAGCAACTCTAACTTAAAAAACATCAAAAAAAAAGATGCACATTTCCAAATAACTAGGAATGGTATGAACATTTAAAAAAATGGACACCTGTGCATAAATTGTGTGGCCCTAACACAAAACATATCTTTCCCTTGAGTTAAGCATTTGAATGCATTTTCTCTTCTGATACATAATTTACAAATAAATTTTTATGTGTTTATAATGTACAGCATCATATTTTGACAAACATATACATGGTGAAATGATTACCACAATCCACTTTGGTATGCATCATTTCACATAATTATTATAGTTTTGTGTGTGTGTGTGTGTGTATGTGTGAATGTTAAGAATATGTAAGATCTACTCTAGCATTTTAATATATTTTTCAAGGTCTTATTGCAAATCAAATTTGGTTTATCACACGCGAAAAGCTGTGTGATTATAGGGAGGAGGGGTGTACATATGATTACCATGTTAGCTACAGTGCATTAATTGGTGGTTGATATTACAAATGAGACTATAAGTTTAAATATTCTGGTGCTGTAACTTAATGACAAACTTTCTTAATGCAGTATATACAGTTATCAGGAACACAAAAAAAGAACATTAAAAATGCTTATATTACAAATGACATTTTAAACAATAGAAACACCAATGACTGACTGACAACTGGGACATTTATCCATAGAAACTCTAAAA